CTTCTTGTTACAGAAATCTAATTAAAGTCTTGAATCTTGTCCAAAGCTGTGCTCTAAAATAAACCAATTTAAGCCTGAATTTGTAAGTCAGGCTTAAAATATAGAATAATTTCACTCATTTCAATTATTCACGGGTTAATAACTATGCTTAATTTGTAGATTTTTTAATTGGTTCTAAAGTTTCTTCCAGGAACACAACCATATCTTGTCCCAATGACTGATAAATGCTACACCTACTTGATCACACATCTAGGGAAGCCTGTTACGAGGGCCAAGATGTGGGTAGTTTAATAACAAAGCTCCCATCATTTCGAGTTTGCTGCTTTGGTGACTGATTGAGCCTTTCAGAAAACAAAGCCTTTCATTTCCAGAACTTTTATTATGCGTGTGATTATGATTTTTGTTTCACTTAAATGTTATTCTATACTGAGGTATTTCAAACAAAACCTCATTTACAGAAAAAAGATGGAAGGAAGCAAAGAAGGGAGGGAGGGAGGGTGGGAAGGAAAAAGGGAAGGGAGGGCAATGAACAAGATAGAAAAACAGGGAGAATAGCCAACAGCTGAGAAGAGCACAAATCTTGAGCAAAAAATAATTAGCTAAGAAGCCAGTTCTGCTTATCCTGCAAGTGCTTACAGTTCAACATTTTGCTACTTCATCCCAATTCAATTTTAGCTGTTACATAATCCACACTTTCACTTCTAATTATGTGATCCTTCTACTTTGGCATTTTATACATTGGCCAAACATTTATGGAGATAAGGTTCTTTTATTCTATAGAAGTATCAAACAAAACAAATTCTTATTCCAATACTTAAAATTTTCCAACTGTCCTGAAATTGCAAAAAAAAAAAAATTATATGAAGTACTATTTACAATATAGCCTGGCCTATAAAAAGTACATAAAAACAGTGTCAATCTGTGGCACTTGAAATTGACCCGAAATTCCTATAAGAATCCTACTTTAATTCATGATTTTATACAGTAGATAAGAAAAATTTCCTCTTGACAATGCCATAGACAGCAGTCAAGTACTCCCAATTAGATTATGGCCTGGTCATAGCCCAAATATTGCTAACGTTATCTTTAAAGCCTTGGAAATAGAAACTCTGTAATGGAAATAGAAAATCTATTATTTCTCATGAAAAAGTATGTATGCTACAACTCTTCAAATCAAACATCAGTATAGTGTGGGCTGTATGGTTTTCCTTAGAAGCTACAGCAAATTCCCAACTTTCCTATCTGTGAAGTGTGAGTATACATCAGAGGAATGTTTTCTGTTAAGCTCATAAAGCACAAGATTTCAGGCATCTTCTCTAGCAATAGTCACGGGGTCATGTATTTTTGTACACTTTGTAAAAGTTAGGTATTGTAACTGCAATCAGCTGAGACTGGGGTCTCTTTCCACTTTGATTTTCCTTCTGTCACTTTCTTTCTCCTTGGGCTGTGTTGGGACAGCCTGGGAATGCTGTGTGTTTATTTTTTAAAGAGGACCACCCAAATTGCATTAACAGAATGTGCACCAGCCACCAGGTGTGACAGCAGTATCTGTTACATACACAGGTGTGTTGTGAGAGAACTGACAACACTAAGTATATTGTGTATATCCAGTGGATGTGTGTAGCCATGATTATTCCCGTATGTGCGCTCTCTCTTTCTCCACATATATACATACATATACCAGGGGTACCAAAATATGTATACATATTTTAAGAGATATTATGGGAAGTAAAGTAGATCAATCTCAAAAAGTTTATATTGCAAGCAAAATGCACGTGTGTAGCAAAGCTAGTTACACTTGACCAGTAACGGTACCTGCATTTCAACTTTGAAAATATACAGATAACATCTCTTAAAAGTGTGTGTGTATATATATGTATATATCAATGTGTATATATATTTTTGGCAAACTGACACACACATATAAAACAAGGTCACAGAAGTTATCATTTTATGTAATGTGTTTAAAACTAAAATTTTTTTCATGGAAAGAGATTTTTCAACCCCAGGCCACGGGGCCATATCATGGTTTTTTGGGA